ACCTTCTCCCGAGGGGTTAGAGACAGAGCCAACGGATCTGCTGAGGTGCGGAAAGCAGATGTCTTACAAGGAGCGTGACGTCTGACACGAGCATGGGGTCTGGTGTCCTAAGCTGCCATCACATGTGTATTAATTGGAGTGTCACTTAATGAAAGACCCTAATTACCTGTCTCAGGAGTGTCAGACAGGGCCCACTGAGTGCTGACAATTACGCTGGTCACTTTTCCCCTCTACAGACTGAAGGAATTAGTGTCTCAGTGTAACTCTGCCGAGGATATAGCTGCAGTTGAGTTGCTAATAATTGATAATGCCCTGATCTTGAGTCGATTGGCAGCTCTCTGTACTCCTTGGGAATGGTTTAACGTCGCCCTTGTTGTCTGCTCACACCGAAGATGACGGGTGACGGGCACATCGTACCCCAGCGCCCCAGAGCAAATGGCGTCCGTACCGAAAGGTAGACGCCGATTCTTGCTTTAAGGTGTTTCGGCATGGAAGCAGTATTTTCTTTCGCTCTCTCCCCCGAGGGATTCGCTCCTGCCGTGTAACTTTCCCGCATCTCCTCCCACGTCGGCTTCTCCGCCCCGCAGTGCTGGAGCAGAGCCAGACGGCGTGGCCCAGTACAGCTCGAGAGACAGATTTGGGAAAACATGCAAATACTGGTAGCTTAAATGAACCGGACATCAAGAAATCACGGCCGGCCTCGCATCAGTTACTCCGAAGTGTTTTACTTTCATGTTGGATCTGACGCAGGATGGGAGGTTCGGAAAGAAGTTAATTGGTTTGAATTTTGAATTTTTGCTTAGTTTTTTTGTTCCTGGTGCCTTTCCACCCGCAGTCAGTCGTAGCTCTTTACGTACATCAGCGGTAACGTGAATCACTGACGGTCAGTGACGTGTGCTGATCCCACCAGGTGTGCGGCAAACCGGCCAATAAAAAAGTGCTGACGGGCTGGAAGAGCCAAATTTTTTTTAGAAACCTGGGTGAAGGAACAGCACCTTCCTGCTGACCGACTCACATTCCTGTACATCAGCTGTATCCATGGTTATACTGAAAAATATTATGAATTAACGTTTATCTGTCTCACATTTATGTCTCTCACGAGCCTGACTGACAGCTGCCTGGTATGTGGTTTTTACACTGGGAAGACAGATGGCAGTGAGGATGCCCCCCCCCTGCGCTTTTGAGGGGGGCTGTAACGCCTGCTGATGTGTGAGAATTCTCCACTGCTCTCCAGGAGGGCAAAAGGCTCACCTGGTATTTTCATCCTAGGATTCTCAGTCTCAGAGTATGATTCACATTATGATGCGTTTTATAGATGCAACCATAAGCAAATGACCTGTTTTTTTTTAAAATTTTATCCACACCTTAATCTGATTGGAGGGTGTTTGGGGGGCATGCCTAAGAAGGGTTGACTTGATTGGAGGGTGGCTGGGGGGCATCTACTGTTCAGGTGGCCACTCTAAATATAGTTTCTAAAGTAGATTTTCTATTTGTGGTAATCTGTGCCTTCCCCCGCCCCCCCACAGTCGTCCTCCAAGCCTGCGCACTGGTCCTGTACCCCATCAAGTTCATCGACGGCACGGTCCTGCAAACCTACCACGAGTTCAACTGGGGCTACGGCGTGGCCTGGGGGGCCACCGTCTTCATGCTGGGCGGCGGCGTCCTCTTCTGTGTGCGGCTGGGCGCGTACGAGCCCCCCCTTTACTGAGCCGTACTTTATGCAGCCGCACCCATGTCATTCCACCTTCCTTTTAAACTGAAGAGGCCGGTCTGCTCACTATTCTGAGCTGCGGTTACTGGCTGCCCAGTGCACAGGACAGAGGATGAGGAGGAGGGAGATTCTGAGCCCCCGCTCCCTCTGGGGCTGGGATTGGCCCTCCAGGTGAAGAGCAGATGCCCGGCACCCTCTCTAGGACGCCTGTAATCCCATCAGCAACAAACGGCGTTTTTGTTCTGCTATGTTTTTTCATTAATGTCTGAGTTGACGTAGCGACTTCTGATATCTTTAGTCTTTCCCCCCTCATCTCCAGCACCTGCTGTCAGAGTTTCTGTAGCGGCGGCAGGCCTGTGCAGGCAGACGGAAGGATGTGTGCGATCGACGGCCATTCATCTCTCTCACACACACTGTGAATGACAATAAAATGTTCAGATGCTGTGTGTGTGTGTGTGTGTGTGTCTGTGTATTTTTCAGTAGAGATTTTATTTCAGTGTATGTCATATTTCTTCTGTAAGTAGATCTTCCAGCAATCTCTCCACCCCCCCTCCTCCCCCCCACAGGTCTCCAGAGTGCTTATTTATTTCACTTATTTATAAAGGAGCTTTTAAGTAAGACAATCCTACCCAAAATTGTAATGCTGCACCGAAGACCTCAAATCGAGCAGATCTGTAGAACACAGATGATCGACTCAGTCTGACGCTCTGCGAGTTGTTTTAATCCCGGTTTGATTCTGGGTCAGGACCAGAACCGGGGAACGTTTGAGGATCCACCCTGATACATCCTGGAGCAGGACCCCCCAGGAGAGGTGAATGCGTGGCTGGTAGAGGATGCATCATGGTGGGGCAGCCAAACACCCCCCCCAGGCAGGACGTCCTGCCAGAACCTGCAAGGTGGTCCCAGCTGGTGGAGATGACAGCACAGTACCGCCGCTTTGGGTCTGATCCGAAATTGGATTTGGCAGATTCCCCCACGGCTGGGATTTAATTGGGTTTTTTTTTTCCTTCCCGGTCTGTCAGGGTGTCGATGTAGATAGAGACGACTTTCTGATTTCTTCAAACAGGATGAGCAGAGAACTAAATAAACCAAATACAGCCCCATCGCCCCCCCCCCCCTCCCCGAATCCTAGTGGCGGACACGCCCTGACCCCTCCCTCACAGAAAGGCAGAAAGGTAAGATGCACTATTCTTCTTGAACGCGAACTAGCACTGCAACTGGGTCAGAATGAGACGCGTTCAGGCACGGCTGTGAGTCCCGGGGGGAGGGCTTGGCGGGAGCGAGGGGGCAGGCCGGGCACTTCTCTGGGGTTCGAGTGGCAAGAAAGCAACTAAATTTTTAAAGACACACAGACTGGCTCAGATGTTGGAAACTTCCAGAAATAGTAATGGATGGACGCTGCCTGTGCTGCTGGACTGACGATCTCGTTACAGATAATTAAGCAGATAATTCAAGTTTGATATGTATATATGACAGTATCCTTATTCAGTTCTCTTGAATTTTATTACTTAATGGTTAAAAAATCCCCTGAAGGGGGCTTTGCTTATGCCAACAGCCCCCCTCCCCCAGGACAAAACTGAATCAGACTTAGAAAGACAGGGGTGCAGGGAGGAGAAGGAGACCAAATGTCAGCTTTTAGGCTTCACACAGAATTCCCGGCTCACCTCGGGTGAGAGTTGCATTTGGTCCTGGGGGGTGAGGTGTGGCGGGGGGCCATCCCAGAGATCGCTTAGCTCCTCTCCTGGCCATTTGTCCACGTCGAGCTGGACAGATCTAGCAGCCCTGAGACACCAAGCCTGGGGGGGGGGGGTGTTATTCCTCTTTTCTTACCATAGTGGCCCCATTAAGCAAAATGCTAACATGAACACAAACTAAAAGGTGGCACTTGTCTTAATGGCCAAGACAAACAGAGATCAGCAATGGGGCAGCACACTCTGAAAGCAGCGCTGCCGTTCAGGTCCTCCAGGGCGGCGCCAGAGCGCCGGGGTACAGGTTCTGCCCCCTGCAGGCAGTAACGGGGCTGTCCCTGCTCCACAGGCCACCGCAAGGACAGATTCCAGTTACTGACCACCGGGGGCAGGGGCCCAAAGCCGCAATCCAGTTTCCCGACATCTTTTCCCAGAATGCACTGCGAAATGGGTCGTAACTTCATGGTGTCAGAATAAACCTTGAGAAACACGTTCATTAACATCGACCTCGAATCTGCTGTTACAAAGGGGCCTAATAGCAAACGACTCCTCCAGAAATTTCTGTATGAAAGGGTTTTATTGGATAAAAATATTTCTAAGCAATTATGCTACTAATGACAGTGATAATAATATGAATATCTGTACACTTCAAAACATATGAGACAACGGTATTTAAATTAAACTAAGTTACAAGCAATGTCTATATTTCACAATGTGAAAACCTCCTAAAAGCAACGGATTCACGCAGAATAGTCAGCAGGTGCGCTGGATAAAGCGCGGCGTACCTTACCTTCTGCTGGACAGGAGGCACACACATCGCCAGCTCTGACATACTGACACGCGTTCGATCCCAGGTTCCTGCCTTTAAGGTATTGAACATTAACCTGAGATGACTGGGGAGGGGGGATGCATGTGTACTCACCATTGGCTCCCTGGGCTTGTGTTTCCCAAACACCCAGTGAATGAGAACTCTTCCTGCACAATGGCAACAGACACCTTGGCATTTGCGATGGCGGCATTTGCGACGACTTCATTTGTGGCGACTGCATTTATGACAGTTGTGTTTGTGACAAATGCATTTGCGATGACTATGTTTGCAATGACTGCTTTTGCGATGACTGTGTTTGTGATGACTGCTTTTGCGATGACTGTGTTTGTGATGACTGCGTTTGCCACAAGTGCATCTGTGACAACTGTGCTTGCGATGACTGCATTTGCGACAGCTGCGTTTGCGATGACTGCGTTTGTTACAGCTATGTTTGCGATGACTGTGTTTGCAATGACTGCATTTGGTACGACTGCATTTGTGACGACAGTCTTTGCGATAGCAGAGCTTGCGATGATTGCATTTGTGATGACTGCTTTTGTGACGACTGCTTTTGTGATGACTACATTTGTGACAAATGCATTAGTTCTACACTCCCCAGCACACACCAGCATGCAGGCGTGTCATGGCGGCGGTTGGCATGGTGATGCAGAATGCAAAGCACCCGAAATAGGTCTGTATTTATGAAGTAAAGGAAGGTGACAACAGTCAAGGCAGTATGAGTCACTGTAGTATGTGCAAAAGCATTCGGAGTTCTTTAGCGACATTCCTCATCATTCCTCAAGTCCGGAACAGCTCATCACGAGCCTTTGTGCGCTGGCGTGTCTGGCAGGAAGTAGCCGCAGCTGTAGCTCCAGAGCATGAGGCCTGACCAATCAAGTGGGCTGTGCAGGTCTGCGGTGCCTCGCAGCTTTATCTCCTCTCATGTTACTATCTGAATCAGCACTCTGTGATCTACAGATGTGCCTGTTTTTGTGAAGATGCCGTCGTTTCTTGTCCAGCTGGAGAGCAAACCCTTCCTGGGCTGTCAGCGGGTAGCTGCCAGAGCGGACTGCGTGTGTGTGTGTGTGTGTGTCTGTGTGAAAACACTCATGTCCTCCTCATGTCTGCCTGGGGTGGGCCAACGGCCTTTGCCCGCACACCTTTTATCTGTTTGTCGGCTTCCCTGGAGAGCTCTGAGAGCTGACCACCTGTTTCTGTGACCTTGAATGTCTCACTTCATCCTCCTTACCTAGCAGGATTGATAAAACAAACACATGACACCGGCCTCGAATCTAAAATGTGGCGTGGTGCTGAATGGCTCTACCTATATGGGGTTGGTGCATTACAATACAAAGATACGCTGTCCAGATTAATCGTGTGTGTCTGTCTGTGTGTGTCTGTGTGTCTGTCTGTGTGTGTGTGTGTGTGTGTCTGTGTGTGTGTGTGTGTGTGTCTGTGTGTGTG